CAACAAAGGGCTTCAACGCACAGCCTTTTGACTCAGAGACGAGATAAAGAATGCATTGCACTCCCATTATATTATACACCTCAGTGAACCATGGCATCACAGGGGCCAGTGGAATACTGACTATTTATGAGGATGATTCGGGTCGGATTGTCCGGCTTCCTGCACTTGGTGTGCAGGTGCAGTGACCCTGACAAATCCCTGGGTATTGAGCATGAATGGCTGGGATGTAACCCATCCCATTATATCACAGTCTCGTTTATTAAGAAGCCCTCGATCCAACTACCCAAGTTGTAATAGGCTTGGACCATACAAACTCTTTACCATCTGTTGAAATGATCTTCCAAGTGTTGGTTGATTCTGCTCAAGGTTACGGTTTCCATGAAAGTACAGAACAACTGAAGAATCAATTAGAAGCTGTCACTTTGTCTTGTAATATCGTGCAATCCCGTGTCTCAGTGAAAAATATGATACTCAAATCTACTTCACAGATGCAGATGTTTGCAATTTCTGGGTGAAACTGTGTCACATTTCCTTGGCTTGGTGAAAGAAATTGAATGTGTTTTGTGTGTTTTGTCTATGTCTTCCGCAGATATGTTAGGCATGCAGCCCTCCTGATCAGAGTATTCAAAGAGAGGTTTTTTTTAAATTTAATGTTAGTGTTGTTCAGGTACAGTGAATCACTTAACTTGACAATCGATTCCCGATATTGTGCAAACTTGCCAGGGTTTGTTGCAAAGAGCAGTCTGCGAGAATCATCATGCATCCTTGTAATAAACAAAATAACCATAGCTCGAGAAAAGTTTGGAACATGACTTTTACTCTCAGCACACTCTACAAGATGAATAGGATTAGTACACAGGGCTCCAGAATCGTTTTGAGGACAACCGGGATATGTGCAGAGGTGAATAATAAGTGGTTTACATAAGTTGTTCTGATGAATTCCAGCTCCCAATTGAGAAATAAAGGTTAGATTTGAAAGTGACTTGAGAATTATTTTGAGCTCTTTCTGGCAACCAGAATATTTGCTGTTCTTGCAAATTGCCAAACCAAAATAATGGGGCATCAGCACACAGAGTAGCAGCCTTTATCTTATCTTACTGGCAAAGGCTAGATTTTCACTGATAGATTTAAAAACGTGTTTCATTTACATGTATAGTTCTAAAGTTGAGCTTTGTATTTGTGAAGCAGATTGTAGAACAGGCCAGAACATTAGAAGGCAAAGTTTGGGAAATGAAGCTGATGCTTTATTTTCGTATCACTGACTGTGTTCTGGTGAGTCCTTGCACTTCTGGAAAAGGGTCCCTTGCAGAACTGATATGTGTATTAGACCCTATTCACTGAGTAAGCAAATGAGTAAGCACTTATAAGGGTAAATGGAATTAGGTTAGAAGATCAGCCATGATCTTATTAAATGGCGGAGCAGGCTCGAGGGGCCGAATGGCCTATTCCTGCTCCTATTTCGTATGTTCTTATTATGTTCTTATGTGACATTCAGAGAAAGTGCGCAGGATGTGTGACTAGACTGAAGGTCAGCTTCTGAACAATGGTATAATTGTGTTGTTAATTAATGGAGAAATATAGAACAACAATATGAATTTATATAGTGCCCTATTTTATGTAACTAGCATGCCAGAATGCTTTACAGGGATGGGGTTAGAAAGGACATTGAGCAAGGCAGAGGGTGGGAGGAGGGGGGCAGAACCAAAACTCTACATTGTTTTGCAGCAAATCTGTAAGTTCAGTCTTAAGTTGAAACCCAGTTTCCGTAGCCCTTGAAAGGAACTGGCTTCCAATTTTTGATGGAATTTAAGACTTTTCTACAATTCAACGCAACTTCAAATTTTAAGACAAACACTCTTGCAGGCTAAGACGAGGTGGAATTTCGGAATAATCAAGCGAGATGTGAGAAAGATGTTGTTAGATTTGGCTTAACAGGAACATTTTTTTATACTTTAGACATTGGGTCAGCATCCCAACTCAGCCACACCACGGTTCAGAATAAAACTCCCTTTACTGCGCCTAGTGGCAATGGAGGGGATATGGTAGATATCTGATTTAGTGAAATTTGTGCCAAATAGTGGACCCTTTTATGCTGCGGACTTGCAGTCACCGGAAACTGCTTTTCAGGACTGGATATAACCCCAGGTCTCAGAGGGATAGTGAATTAATTCAATTGCCACCAAACCTCCTACGATAGGGTTTCCTTGCAGGCTACAGCATTCTTACAATTACTTTGGGATGGGTTAGCAGGTCTATTCCAGTCCTGTGCATTCCTATGTTCCTGATAATGAGTGTGTGTTATATAAAGAATAATGCAGAACTGAGTGAATTACAAATCTGCTGGCTAATTGCGGGTTTCAGGTGACATTAGGAATGATAAGAGAGTTGAATGTAACATCATCTGAAACTCAAAGGGTGAATTTCATTACTCACATCTGCTATATTTCACTTGTTTGTGGGCCTGCGCTGTAATTTTTCAGTGACTGCTGATGCTTCTATGGTGTGGTTGCTGCATAATTATTCTGCCAAGAGGATGGCAGTGGGTCAGAAGTTGTTCTCCGCATATTGACTGTTGGTTTATCATTGTCAATTTGTGTGCCTCAGGATGAAAGCTGTTGTGCCTCACTCCCCAACAAACCACACATTCCTAAGAATTGCTTAATGATAGCCTTCCCATTTTTAGTTAATCTCTGGGGTTGCAGTGTGGTAACCCCAGTCAAATAGTTTAATGCTTTCCTGGTGCTATAATCTGCAGTGTCTTGCGAGATTCCAAGACCTTTAAAATCAGGCTCCAAATGTCTGAGTATACTATCCAGTGGTCATGAATAGGGATGATCAAAAGATTCTGAAGTGGCAGGTCTTTTTAAGGGACCATTAATGTTAAGTTCAAAGCAATAAATGGTACAGTGCATATATTTAACACATGTTTGCTCAGGAGTGGGATATTTTCTTCAAATTTTTCTCCAGTGATCTTTTAATTATTAGATTCATCAATGACTAGCGGAAAGAACCCAATGTGACCTATAAGTCGAAATCACTGCTTGATTTTTTTCTTTCTTTAATTTCATTGCAAGCAAGTTCTGTTCCTTCTGGCTGGATACAAAACCTCTTGATGATATGAACCTGCTGAGAATGGATTCAATGGTGATTGATGTCAGAAAGGTGACCTTTTTAAGGACTGAAGTTCAAGAACATGAGGCTACAAAGCCTTGGTCCATCTGTTTATATCAAGGGAGAAACTTGTGACGTTTCTTCTCTGAAGACTCTACCACAGAAACAAAACACTTTCAATTAATTCCCTTTAAAGGAATGTATCTAATTTAAACCTCAGTTGGAATCTTCTACACAGGCAGGGTCCTGAAATTTGTGACTTTAGCTATGACCTTGGCATTGCTAACATTACCAGGGGATGTTCATTTTAAGGCTGGGATGAATCTGCATTCTTACTACCTATCTGTGTGAATATCTATATCTGTGTATGTGTAAATATAGGTCTATATGTTTCCCACAAAATATACGGTCAATTCATTTTACAGTGTATTCTGTGGCACGCTTTGCACATCCTGAAGACGTGATAAGTTGCTATATTAAATGCAAAGATTATTATTATGTATATGTGTGTATATTTGTATGTGTGTGTATGTCAAGGTGTGTTTGTATTTGCCTGTGCGTGTGTCTGTGTGTGTATGTGTATATGTATATCAGCGCCTTGGGATGTCCTTCTGACGTGAAGGGCGCTATACAAATGTAATCTTGTTGTTGTTGTATATGCCTGTGTGTATATATCTGTGTATGTATAACAGAGGATATCCACATATGTGAGTGTGTGTATGAATATATTGTGTGCATCTGTGTTTGCCTATATGTATTGTGTGTTTGGGTGTGTATGTGTGTGCATGTCTGTCTTTTGGTGTATGTGGAACACCAAACTGTTGATTTCACAGGATTCCTGCAGCTAAGTAGTGAAATTAAAAGCTATATTTTCCTGTTGGAGCCATTTCTATCATGAGCAACATTGCATGATTTTTGATCATACTGAGTAGGAAATGCAAGAAAGTGTGTAGTATGTATGTGTGTGGAGCACCTTTCACACCAGGAGGACATCTCAAAGCACTTCATAGGATATATTATAAACTGTGGTGACAGTATTTTATAGGTTGAGGAGGGCATATAAGCAAATATTATAAATAGCGGTATTTTTGCTGTGAAGTGTAGTGTCTGTGTATTTTTGTATGTGAATTGCAGGCGTGAATATGTTCACAGCAATGTCCCAGAAATGCCACAAAGTGAGTGACCAATTTTATCTGGGGCATTGTTGGCCAGGACACCGGCAGGAGCTCACTTCTCTTTTCGAATAGTGCCATAGGATATTTAGTGCCCTCAGACAGGACCTTGATTTAATGTTTCATCTGAAGTACAGCACCTCCAAAAGTTCAGCACAGATTCAGCACTGGACTGGAATGTCATCATAGACTTGTGAGTTCAAAGTCTCGGTCCACAATTTTCGTGTGATAAAATGTAACAATTATAAGTGTAACATGAAGCCTTTATTACTTGCTTCAGTGTTACATTCTCTCCTTTGAGTGCACCCTCCTTAATCCATAGAGAGCAAAGTGAATGTAGATGTTGGCCAATCTATTCCCCCTTTTACCATTAAAAACTAACGACAAAGATCTGTGACAGTCAGCGATATAGAGGAGAATTTTACATTTTAAAGTTAATGGATTTAAACTTTTCAATTCATGAAGTGAGAAAATCAGTTTTTCTTTAAAAAAATATGGAATATGTCATTATCCTCAATTCCCCCTTCAGCAATTGACCTACAAAAACACACAGTCACCACAGATTAGAGCACTTTGAGGTATGCCCCTGATGTGAAAGGCGCCATATCAAATGGAAGGACTATTGCACAGTGTTGTTTTTACACATATTCAGCGCGTCATGTTACCAAAGAGGACCGTCTCGTGGATTAATTTTCTTTTCACTCTTTATGTTTTCAGCGAGCTCTGCCAAGGAAAATGGAGACAACATGATTGACTGGAACCTTCAAGAAAACATTTTCTCTTCGCTCCCTCAGGACGCTAACTTCTCTGACATTGACTTCGATGACTGCAGCTCTGTGTGACCGACCCTATGCGATTCTGCTCAGGATGCTCCTCCGAGAGGGTGAGTTCTTGGTTCTGTCTATAAAATAACATTAATAATAATAATACGGGTATGCTGTTTCACTAGTGTTTCTCCCTCTTACCCCCATGTCAGGATTAAAGCAGCTTCACTTTTCAGTTCTGATCAAAATGTTTCCACTTGCAGCAAACTGTTCCTGGGACAGAATATAGAGTATGTAAAAATGATACTACAGATAGAGAACACCCTGTGCGATTCACTACTGAAATAAAAGTGGGCTAGCCATGAAGTACTGTGACTTGAGCAAACCCATGTCTATCCAAAGGGTGAGTGGGCCTGTTCTGTCCTATCCTTAGACCCTTGTGGCTCCCACCCAAACACTTTGAGATGTCCTCCCAACATGGAAGCCGCTGTATAAGGGTAAATTATATTAAATTGTATTCCACTGGAATCCATCACGTCTCTTCAATAGTCTGCTTGTGTTTCACCTATTGACTGATTTTATATACTATTCCTTCCCTCCGCCCTAACTAAAATTCACTAAAAAAAGGGCAAAGATTGAGGGCATGTTTGTAGGCATACAAAGAAAAGTTAACCAAATATTTTGTGGTGAACGGAATTCAAAGGTCTCCCCCAAAAGCGCATCACCTGAACAGGAATACCTGTCTGAGCAGTTTCCTATCAATAATATCTCAGCGATAAGGCTTCTCTCTCCCATCTTGTGAGTCCAGAGGTTTGAACACTACCTGAGCAGACTGACATTGTTCATTCTTTGTTCTTTCGGAAGTGTCAAACACCCATAATTCACGAGTACTGTATGAACAAGTGAGTTTCGACAGGCTTCTGCACAAGTGAGAGAGTTTCAATAATGCACCATCAATGGCACAGTCTTCTGTGTAGTCCATCACTGCATTGTCTGAGCTGCTAAACATGCTCTGGAATTTATCCTGCAGCTCAGGCCTCTGTTGTTAAGCAATGATTCACTCCAGTGAATTATCAGTTTTAATTTTACTGCTGCTAAATGATCGGCTTTGGCAGGCGTGACATTACCATTAATACCCATGCAGTGCGACTTTTGATTTAATTTGCTTTTTCTCTAATAAAAATTGAAACATGATGCTTGCTACTTATGGTTCAGAAATGTGGGAGAATTGGACTTGTGTGGTCTGTGTCGTGATGGTTTATTTCCTGGGATTTCCTTTACTGCTGAGATTTTTCTTATGATCCTGGTGTGAATTTACCACCTTTGTCTGGCCTGTGTCCTGCGCTCATTCCTTACCAGACTGAAGCCTACAATCTTCTTAATTGGTCATTCACTTCAGGCCTGATTTGATTGTGGGACATTGCTGTGTGCAAATTGCCTGCTGCGGTGTCAGGCTCCATCACAGTTAAGTGCTCCAAGACACAACCCAGCATGAAGAAAGCTATATAAATGCAACTTGTTGTTCTTGCATTTGCTTACAAAGTACACACAGCACTTGGAGTTCTCTTACTGGCATTAAAGACGTACTATTTAATGTAAGGATTAATATTATTATTATTATTAACCCTCACCCACACATACAAATACCCACATGCACACAACACCAAACAACATTTGCACACAATTATATATGCCCTCTATCTTATATAATAATAATAATCCTTGCATTTGATATAGCGCTTTTCACTTCGGGAGGACGTCCCAAAGCGCTTCACAGAACACACTGTAAAGTGAATTGACTGTATATTTGTGGGCGAACGCGGCAGCCAATTGCGCACAGCAATGTCCCACAAACAGTCGTAGATTGAAAATGACCAATTTATTATTGTTTTTGGTTTGGGAGGGATTATTATTAGGCTCTGTGTGGAGTAAGGAAACTTGCCCAAGGTTTCGCCCTCTGCCTGGAATTGAACTCAGGTCTCTCGCTTGTAAAGCGAGTGCTCTAACCACTGAGCTACAGGACTCCACATATATATAGGACATCCCAGTGCCTTGGGACTTTCTCCCGACGTGAAAGGTGCTATACAAATGTAATCTTGTTGTTGTTGTTGTATATGACCTCTTGAATCTCTAATTCACACCTCCATAGCTTCTGGAGTTGGTATTTGTCCTGATATACATTCTATCCCTTGCCCCAATTCACACTGTGTTCTCACGCTCTTATACACTGTGAATAAACCACTGAAATAGTTCCTTGTCTCAATCCCTCTGCCTTGTGCCCTCTTTACTCACCTTCAGGTTGCACCTGAAGACTTTCTTCTTCGACCTTGTCTACAGTCACCTCCCCTTTCTCCCCGGCTTGCAAACAAACAACCGTATTGTGAAGCACTCTGAGCCACTACCCCACTTGAAGTGGACTATACAAATGCAAGTTGTTGTTGTTAAAATTTGTGCCATTTGTGAGACTTTTGTAGAATTATCCATCACGGCAGTTACTCGACCCACACTAAAATCACTTTTATCCTTCGGTGCTTAGTGTAGTGTAGAGACTATGCCATATTACTCTGTGAGACTCTTTAGTCCTGTAGCTCAGTGGTCAGAGCACTCGCCTTGCAAGCGAGAGACCTGGGTTTGATTCCCGGCAGGACGAAACCTTGGGGAAGTTTCATTACTTCACACGCCTGATAATTATCCCTCAAAAAAAAAAAAAATTGGTCACTCAATCCACGCCTGTTTGTGGGACACTGCTGTGAAATTGGCTGCAGTGTTTCGCCCACAGAATATACAGTCAATTCACTTTACAGTATGTATGAAGCGCTTTGAGAGGTCTAGAAGATGTAAAAAGCGCTATATCTAATGCAGGATTATTATTATATATAATATTTAATTGTCTTCCATAATGTAGTCCCACACAATACATCACTGGGTATATCTTGCAGTCACATACAATATATCACTATGTCTCACGCAATAATACTCTCATATTTCGGATCTTGGAACTTTCTTTCTCTTCCCCATGAAGTCTGGAGTTTTCAGCTCAGTGTCACTCATTGGTTTATTCTATGGCAAAGTACATTGTCCCCATCATGGATATTGTGTCTAATTGCTTGATAAGGTGAATGCCTGCAGTTTTAAAAGCATAACCCTTGCTGAGAACAACCTGCACAAGGCAGTGTTTGAGTTATTACTCCAGGGCTTCTGAACTGTGTGACAGAACAGGAGATTAGCATAAGAAATATCCTTATGCAACGGTCGTCCAAAATTTTATTTTCTGAATTTGAATTGAATTGAAGTGTTTGGGATTCTCGCATTCTCCAGAGAATGTTGCCAGGATGTTTTCTGTGCAACAGCTTGTGTACTGAGACCACAAGTGATTTAGGACATGCATTCATCCGAACTACCTGGTGACACCTAGCAGTAAGACCGCAATGGCAGAGCAATGGGAAGATGAACATCATTTCTGTGCCATTACATCGATGTGGGGAAAGGCACCTGTCAATTAGAGCAGGTCACTTCGTCTATAATTCAGTTTAATGTCCAATGTCAAGGACAAAGAATGTAAAGCCTTACTTTTACTGATGGCTATCAGTGACCAATCTATAACAGGGAGGAATTTTGCACTTGAAAGGCATTCCAGTAAGTCATGTTTAGTGTTCCCGTTAACATTTTTTGGATAAAGCCTTACGTCCATGACCTTTTCAATAATTGGCACAGTGTGGAGAGATTTTTTCTTAGATCTACCTTTTTTGTGGAAAGAATTGCACGGTTCAGGATACTACAATTGTGCGTAAACCATTGAAATTTATGCCATTTGTGCAGCAGTTTGTAGAATTATTGATGGCTCAGACTTTTGAAGAAACTATGGTGCAACAACAGCAGCAACACCACCAACAACAATAACAACTTGCATTTATATAACACTCTTCACGAGGGGTGGGGTCTCTGTGCAGCATAATTACAGAGGATAAGTCACAGGCAGCAGTGTCGTATAATACAATAATAATAACCATTCTTGCACGTGAGATTAGCACTTTTGCTTTGGAGGAGACGTTAAACTACAGTCTCATCTGAGATAGTTCTGGTGGATGTTTAAAGCGCTCTTTGAAAAGAGAAGGGAGTTACTTCTATTGTCCTGGCCAAGAATCCCCCAGATACATTTGGTCATTCACTTCATGGTTGCTTGCGGACATTGCTTTGTTAAAAATTGGCTACTACATTCACCTACAATGTCACTACATTTTAAAAGTAAAAGCCTGTGAAGTGCTTTGAGACATCCTCCTCAAGTGATATCGTGCTAAATCAAATGTAAGGTTATTATTAAAACTATTAAGAATAGCAGTCAGTCAGCTTGGCTAGCCTTCTACACCATTTAATTAGTGAAAGGCGTTGTATGAAAGCAAAGGTTATTTAATATGTATGGCACCATGGTAGTTGTAGTTCCGCCTGCACAGTACAGAGCGACCAATGTAGAAATGAGGAAAATAACTTGGTTGGAATCAGTTCAGATCAAGGTGACCTCCCGTGGAATCTGAATTGCAAGGATAAAATATAACTCAGTTAGCATAGTTTTCAAAGCCAGAGTCAGCTCCCATTATTGAAGTCGACAAGTCAAATAACTGGTTGGACATTTGATGACAGCTCGACTATATATCTAGCAGAAATGGACTGCAGAAATTCCCTGTTGACCTCAACTAAAGTAGAAGCCTACTACATTGTTTTTTCCCCACCCCTTCATTGCTCAGTCTGTTGCTGGCTCTTTGTAATGTGCTACAAGTGCTGCAATGTTGTACAGAGGAGTATGCTACAGAGGTTTGGTTTCACAGAATGACATGGTCCCTATCCTGAGACCAGCAAAGAAGTGTCACACTCCATACGTGTCGGTGGTTTCCGCTTCATTTCTATAACCTGTTATATGCTCTGGATTTATTTTATTGTCAAATAGAAAACTACTGAAGGTATTAAAATGAAAGGTGGAGGGGAATCCCTGGGAAATGTCTGTCATTCCCGAGTCGTTGCTGGTTCAGGTTACGGTTCTTGGCTTTCTTCCACCACGTTTTAAGTGTGATCTGTCCTCCTCTCCGTGGCACAAAGGAGTAATGGTATGGTGATAATGATTAGA